TCTCCCTCTCTCTCTCTCTCCCTCTCTCTCTCCCTCTCTCTCTCTCTCTCTCTCTCTCTCTCTCTCTCTCTCTCTCTCTCTCTCTCTCTCTCTCTCTCTCTCTCTCTCTCTCTCTCTCTCTCTCTCTCTCTCTCTCTCTCTCTCTCTCTCTCTCTCTCTCTCTCTCTCTCTCTCTCTCTCTCTCTCTCTCTCTCTCTCTCTCTCTCTCTCTCTCTCTCTCTCTCTCTCTCTCTCTCTCTCTCTCTCTCTCTCTCTCTCTCTCTCTCTCTCTCTCTCTCTCTCTCTCTCTCTCTCTCTCTCACCTCCCGCGCCCGACCCCACCCCTGCCTGGACGTGGCCGAACGCACCCTTTTCAACGAGCGGGATGCCGAGGACGAAGTCCTATTCATGTTTGATCTATTATATGGGTCTACGTGCTCTCCTCTCTCTCTCCTCCGAGTTCCCGTTCCTGTCTTGTCTGCATCATCTCTGTATCTCTCGACCTGTTTCCTCTACGCATTTCTCTCTCTCTCTCTCTCTCGCTCTTTCTCCCTCTCACGATTTGTCTCCCTCACTCTCCTCTCTCGCCCTCTTTCTCTGTCACTCTCCTCTCCCTAATCCCTATCCTTTGTCCTTCCCCCTCTCAGTCGAATCTCGCGCTGCCCTCCCTCCCAGACAAAACAGAGTTGGGTGGAAATAGAGGTCCTTGCTCTGAGACTCGCGGTCCGCCAAGTCGGAGCACAGGATTTCTGGTGCATCCCGAAAGGTGCCGTCATCGAAATCAGCGCGGGCGGGGTCTTCTGGTTTGGCGCCCTCGGGTGCGTAGAGGGGGGCGGACATCTCGGGCTCGGTACTGCCAGGCTTTCTCCGCGTTGCTCTGTTCGAGACCTGGGCCCCCCCCTGCACCCCTGCCTCGCCCTTCGCCCTCGAGGGCCGCAGGGAGGCAGGAGAAGGATCAGGAGGAGGAGGAGGAGGAGGAGAAGGAGGAGGAGGAGGAGGGCCAGGGCGAGGGCGAGGGGAATGAGGAGGAGGGGGAGGAGGAGTTGGGGAAGGAGGAGGAGGAGGAGGAGGAGGAGGAGGAGGAGGAGGAGGAGGAGGCAGGAGAGGGAGAAAGAGCGAAACTCGTGTTCTGGGCCTCATCGTAACCATAGGTCCACGTGCCCGCCGATGGGGATCTCGTCCCCGAACTCGCTGGCCCACCACCAACAGGAGTATCTCGGGGGGCTCGAACGACGAAGAGGAGGGGGCAGGGTTGCCACGGTCACGCCATCAACTCGCGCCACTCCCTCGATCTGAGACGGAGGAGGGGACAAACCAAGGTTGTGGGGAGGAGGACTTACGGGGGAACGAAAACCATTAGCAAGAGCCGAACCAGACACTTAGCACTCATTTTCTCCGCGGCCGTGGCTCCCCTCAAGTGGGCGTTATCGAGGTGGAGGAGGAAGATGAGGATGAGGAGAAGGAGAAGGTGGAGGACAAGGACTGCTGAGGGCGGATGGGGAGGAGGATGAGGAGCAGCAGGATCAGTTGAGAATCCCAGAGGTCCAAGGCCCAGCATCTCCGCGAACCACTGGGTCGGCCTTCGGCAACCATACCAAAAAACATCCCCCTCGTTTTCCCTCCGTCCCTCCCCTCCTCCTTCCTCCTCCTCCCCGCCCTCGCTCCCCCTCCTTGCCCCTCTCCCTCTCCCTCCCTCTCCCTCCCTCTCCTTCCCTCTCCCTCTCCCTCCTCTCCCTCTCACTCCCCTCGCCCTGCTTCCCCTGCCTTGCTTCCGTGGCCCAACGCCTGTTTTTCCTGGGGTTGGGGGGGATGCAGTTTTTTGAGGATGACCGAGCCTGGGCTTGTGCTGGATCATGGCCCTCCCGTGCGCGCACAGCGTGCGCAGCTTTTTCACGGTCCTCTCGGCGAACGATTGCTGTCTCGATTCGGACATATTCCATTTGCCCTCGTTGCACATGTCAGCCGCAATGTGTTTCAATGCCTCGAGTGCGCTACTCTCTGCAATCGAAAAGTTCGGGGCCACAGGGTATATTGCGAGAAGAATCGCCTTGCAGTCTAGCACCATCTCTTTCTTCATGGGTTCGTCCTCGCCTCTCGTGCCATAGTTCATGTTCAGCACATCCTCTGCCACAGGAAGAAGCGCATCTTTCAACAATTCTGAATTCGACAAACGGGGCCTTTTAGCGGAAGGAGTCATGCAGAATATGAAAGAGCTTGCAAGAAGCGGAATGCACCAAAAGGAAATCATTGAATCGATCGGGGCCGAAACGGCTGCGAGCGGGCGAGCGGGAGACAAGACACATTCGAACACAGCAGCCCTCCTCCCTCCTCCTCCCTCCTCCTTCCTCCTCCTCCCTCGCGTTCCCTCCTCCTTTTCCTTCTCCTCTTCCTCCTCTCCTCCGCCTCCTCCTCCTCCTCGTCCTCCTATTCCCTCTCTTTATATTTTTTATCCGTCCTTCCTCCTCCGTTCCCGTAGCCTTTTTGGCTCATGCGAGGCTACGACCCGCAGTTTATGTGCCTTTTTGGCTTGTGGTTTGGTTTTAAGTGCCGGCCTTCTGCTTTTAAGTGCCGGCTTGTTTTAAGTGCCGGCCTGTCTTATAAGCACCTTGATCCAGAGGTTGCTATTTTACGTGCCGGAGACCCTGTGGGATGAGACGCGCCCTTGCCATGAGCGCTTTCTCTAAGAATTTCGTCCCTAATCGCATGGGCCAGCCACATTGGGCGACAACTACCGCGTGCCGGATTGGGGGCCCGTGGTGGCACCCCAACAGCCGCCGGCCCCAGTTCACTTGCATCTTATTGAGGGCCGCTTCAGCCCCCGGCGTGGCCGCCAAAAGCGGGCAGGCATAAAGAATCACGGATTCTACCCGCGCTGGGACCTGCGCCGCTGCCACCGGGATGGAAAAGCCACCGGATTCCGCAGCGTAGAGCAGCTTAGAGAAGCAACTATAGCCAATGGCTAGGATCTCTTTGAGAAGCGGCGCGAACGTCAAGTCCGAGTCCACCAAGATGCCCAACAGGACTTTGCGTTCCACGGAAGGGCAATCGGCCAGCCTGGGGCGGCTTGCGCCGAGGACTGGGAGCACGCAAGTTTTGTTTTTCTCGCGCGAGAAAAAAGACTTGAACCTGCGAGCGTACCGGCTGCACGCGGAGGACTCCTCCGGGGAGATTACTGCCCTCACGGCTCCTACAGATGGGCACGCGGTCGTGAGGTCGTCGACAAATTGTGCCGGCGGCATGTGCCAGGAGCCCGCGGCCTCAGCTACGGCGGCTCTGTCCGCGACGGCCGGCAGGGAACGAAGCGAAGCAGCAAGTGTTTCCTCGGAGTTGGGCCAGGGCGGAAGCTCGGTGGCTGCCGCGCGCGCCACCTCGTTCAAAATGGCCACCACGGGCAACGCCCGGTCAGGCATCGCCTCCACGTCTGTTGGAGGGGAGACCACGCATGCAGATTGCAAGGCACGCCTGGCTAGGGGCGGGACCACGGTGGCGCAACCTCCTGGCACAGCGGCAGCGATTTCATCCGGCAACGCTTTCAGCTGCGCGTTACAAATGTGCACTGAAAAACGCCTGCCCTGGGCCGTGCCGCACCCAAGGGCGAAAACCGGCGACAGCAGGTTATGGAGGCCCACGGCCTGGTGATCTTGTGCCAGAATGTCATCCAGCATCAACCAATCGGCCCCCCGCACGCCCGCGTGGAAAGCACCGCACAACATGCCGTTCACCGAAGCAACATCAAAAGCCCACTTGTTGTCTGCGACGGCCAACCATGTGGGCAGATTCTGTGAATGCCGCAACTGAGCATGCATTGTGAGTGCGATCACAAGGGAGACCGGATCGCCGACCCCCCCCTGTTGGGCGGGTCCGCAATAGGCCTCAATCTTGGCCCCGTTCCGCGCGATCCACGCGGCGTCCTGAACCGCCTGTTTGGGGCCCACGCTGGCTGGCACATTAATATGCGTGCGCATATGCACTTGCATAGATGCATCCGCACATACACACATATATATATATATATATATACACATACGAGCCATATACACATCTATACACATATACAGAACTGTCTATATGTGGCTGTACGTATGGCCACGCCCGGCGAGGGAAGCTGGGCCCCAACGATGGGTGGCTCAGCGTGGCACCCGCTCGTGGCCCCCCCTCGTTGCCCCTCCTCGCTGCCCCCCCGCCCGGGGGCCCATCCTTGCCCCCCCCACAGGTGCCCCCCCACCGTGGCCGCTCCGCAGTGCTCCCCCGTGATTAGTGGCCCCTCCCCTCCTGCGAGGAGCTGCCGAGAAGCTCTCTCTCCCTCTGCCGCCGCCGGGGGAGACATTCTGAGCCTGTGGCCCCCTGCGAGCGGATGCCTCCGGGAGCCTCCGGGGCACTCGAGGGGGCCGCCAGGGGTCTGGATCCGGGGCGGCACCCGAAGTTACAGTGGACTACAGCCGGGGCCTTGGCCTAAGGAACCCCAAATAAGGAACGAGGCCCCTTTTTTCCATACAGTAAGTTAACCTTCGATTTCCTGTCGAAAACATAAGGAAAGCCTGAGGCAAGCTGTGAAACACTTAAGGAACGCGGAGCCCCTCCCCAACGAAAATGGTTCCTTCTTCAGGGCCCCGACTGTAACTATCCCCCCCCCGCGCTGGTCCTGCGCGGGCCGAGCCCAGGCCCAGGATCGGTGTGCCCCCGCGTGCTTGGCCAGGATGGCGCCCGCACCACCTCCGGGGCCCAGGATCGGCCTTAAGGCCCGCTTCGGCGCCAGTGCGCCACCATGGTGACCTCCCGGCTCGCAGGCCGGGAAAGGAAGGACGCCCCCCCCTCTCTGCCGCCGCCCCTCATTACGTGAGTGTGTTGCGAAGCGTAGCCGCCGGGGCTCGCGTCTAGAAGTCGCCAGACACGTTCCAGAATCGCAAGACACGCCCTAGAGCGGGGCGGCGCGGCGGGCGCACAGCGTGCCCGAGAGCCCCCAAAGGCCTCCCACCCTCCTCTCTCCTCCCTCCTCGCACGCTCGAGACGCCAGGGGCCACCTGCCGTGGAAGAGGGTGATGGACATCCTCAGGCGCCTGCTCAGCTGCTCGAAGAGGTCACCCAGCCACCCCCCCGCCACTGTGTACAACTGGCTGGTCCCGAACATGTACCCGGGCACCAGCATCGCCTGGGGCGAAGAGGAAGAGACACACGGGGAAGAGCACGGGATGGGAAGGGGGAGGTTCGATACGACAAGACGCCACCCCACAAACTCCGAAGACGAAGGGCCGCTTGGCAGGGCGGGTTCGGGAGGACACTTGCAAACTGCCTCTCTCGCGGGCCCTCTCACGGGAGAGGACGGGGGGGATGGGGAACTGGTGATGGTGATGGTGATGTTGATGGGGATGATGCTGATGATGCTGCTGATGCTGATGCTGATGCTGATGCTGATGCTGATGATGAGGAGGAGGATGATGATGACGATGATGATGACGATGATGACGATGATGATGATGACGATGATGGTGACGATGATGATGATGATGATGATGCTGATGATGATGATGATGATGGTGGTGATGATGATGATGATGCTGATGATGATGATGATGATGATGATGATGATGATGATGATGACGATGCTGATGATGATGCTGATGATGATGATGATGATGATGATGCTGATGCTGATGCTGATGCTGATGCTGATGATGATGATGATGATGATGATGATGATGATGATGATGATGATGATGATGATGATGATGATGATGATGATGATGATGACGGCGAGGACGCCACACATCGCCAGCGACAACGAGCTTCGACTGCAGCACCGGCGTCGCTCAAACGTCGGCGGGGGGGGAGGAGGAGAGGACCTTCGCATCTCCTCGCGGAGGCTCCCGCCGAGACCGCACACGGCGGGCCATCGCGCACGCGCCCAACTGCCAGGCGCGTGCAGCTGGGGCGCGCCGAGCGCGGGCCGCGAACGAACCGCGGCGCCCCCTCGGTGCGCCGAGCTGCCGCCGCGAACGGCCCTCCACCACGGCGGCTCCGCGTGGCGTGCCGGCGCCGCGCGGCCTCGGCCGCCTCGGCCCGCGCCCCCGCCCGGGGGGGGGGGAGAGCTGCTCCTCGCCGGGCCCCGCGACGGAGGGCCTCGGCCGCCTCGCGGTGGCGAGCGCGACCTCGCCGCGCGCTCCTCCGGCGCCTCCCCGCCCGGGAGCCATGATGGGCCCTCGCTGCGCCGGCGGGCGGGGCGCGCCGCGGGCGCCCGCGCCGCGCTCGGGCTCGGGCTCGAGGCCGCGCGCCGCCCTGCTCGAGCAGCGCTCCGCCCCCTCGCGCCTGGGCCTCGTCTCCTCGCGCTCGCCTCGGGCCTCGCCTCGCGAAGGCGCCGCGCCCGCTGCAGCGGCGCACGGGGCCCGCCACCCCTGGAGCCGATGGCCGTCGCGCGCAGGGCGCCTCCACCCGGGCGGCAGGGCCGCAGCGGCGTCGACATCGAGGCTCCGACGCCGCGGCGTGCTGGCCCTGCGCCGCCGCCCCAGACCTCCGCCGTCGTGTTTTTTCACAACGTCGACCCCCAGAGGTCCGGACCCCTTCCCCGGGGCCGGTTCTTCGTCCTGAGTCGTTTTTTGACGCTCCCGAGGCCTGGTGAGGGCCCCCGGAGGCCGAAAATTGTGCAAAAAACCTCCCGTCGTGATTTTGTCACGACGCGAGGAGGTCTGGGGCTGGGGCCCCCTGTCCGACCGTGCGCCGCGCTGCCGGCCGCCGCCGGCGGCGTCGCCCCCAACGCCGCGGCCCTGTCCTCCACGCCCTCGCGCGGGCGGCCCGCCCGACGCGCTGCGCTCGTGGGCGCCCCGGTGCTGCTCCGCGCCGCTCGCCTCCCCGCCGCCCTGCCCGGGCGCGGGGGCCTCGCCGGCCCCGCCCGCGCCCCCCACGTTCCCGAGGGGTCCGCGTCGGCCGGCGGGGGGCTCCCCATGCCGCGCCCCCTCGCGAGACCGCGCCCCCTTCCTCCCCTTCCCCCTCCTCCCCCTCCCCCCCCAGACCCCCTCGAGCAATGAAAAAATCATGACGGGAGGTTTTTCCTAATGTTCGACCTCCGGGGGCCATCACCGGGCCTCGGGAGCGTCAAAAAACGGCTCAGGATGCGAAGCCGGTCATGGGGAAAGGGTCGGGACCTCTGGGGGTCGACGTAATGAAAAAATCATTACGTCGGAGGTCTGGGCCCCTCCCCCTTCGGGGAGAAGGAGGTGGAGGGGCGCCCCATTCCGCGCGCCGTCTCCAGCGAGGCCGTCCGCTGGCTGCGCCTCGGCGCCGTCGCTCCGGGGCGCGGGGGCTGCTTCGGCCAGCGGGGGGGGGGGGGCGTCCGCCACCCCGCGCCCTGACGGAGCTGCCTCGGCCAGCGTGCTGCCCCCTGTCCCGCGCCCCCTCCGCCCGCTTCCGGCGGGCCCCTGTTCCGCCTGCGCCCCGCCGCGCCGGTCCTCGGGCGGGGGCGGGCTGCCCGCCGCTGAGGAGCTGTCCTCCGTGAAGGCGTACTCCTCGCCCTCGGGGGGGGGGGGGCGCTGCCCCCAGCGCCCCACTCGTGGTCGCTGTCGTCCGGCTGCGGCTGCTGCGCCCCCCGCGTTCCCCATGTCTCGTCCTCGTCGCTCTCCCGCAGGGCAGCCTGGGCCTGTCTGGCCTGTCGGGCGTCGGCCGCGCCGAGGGGCCTGGGCCGCGCCAGCGGGCGGTGTCGTCCTCCTCGCGCCTCCTCCGCCCCGGCCGACGGGCCCGGCGCTGGAGGCTGCGCTGCCGGGGGCGACCGCGGGGGCGCCCAGCAGCAGTTTCCTGCTCGCCGCGCCGGGGCAGTGGGCGGGGCGCCGCTCGCTGCCCGGCCGGACCGGCGCGTCGCGGCAAAAAGGCAAGTGCTGGTGAACCTCCACGCCCGCCTGCTGCGTGTGTGTGTGGCCTTCAGGGCGACCCGCCTAGGGGGCCACATGCGAACCCTACCCCTGCCCCCACGATTTCCGAGGGGGAGGGTGGGGTTCACTTCGTTCGGGAGCTCCCGATCGAAGCGAACCCCACCCTCCCCCTCAGAGATTGTGGGGGGTAGGGGTAGGGTTCGCATGTGGCCCCCTACCGCCTCTGCCTCGCGTTGCCCGCCTGGTGCTGTCGCCCCTCCATGCCAGGGGGGGCAGATGCCCCCATCCTGCCTCCGCCATCCCTCCTTCGCGCCGCGGGCATGCCCGAGTGCGGGGGCCAGCTCGGGCAGTAGCAGTAGCAGCCCCGCCGTGACGCGCCCCTCGCCGTCCTCATCCACTGGAGGAGGCCGAGCGGCTCGTCCGCCATCTCGGCATGCCACGCGCCCGATGCGCATTTGATCTTGCTGACCAGGCGCGGGAGTCCCCCTCCTCCTCCTCCTCCTCCTCCTCCTCCTCCTCCTCCTGACACGTACCCAGGGGGAGCGGTCTGGTCGATGACGGTCTCAGCCTCGATGAAGCGCCGCCCGCACTCGAGGCACAGCAGCACGCGCAATTCTCTGTGGGATGGGTGCGGGGTGAGAAGAAAGGGCGGTGTACAGGATATGTGAGGCGACGACAAAATGGCAGGCAGCAGGGGGCGGGGATTTCAGACCGAGGCGAGTGAGGAGGTCGGGGGAGAGGGAGACATTCAGAATCTCAGCGGTCCAATCCAGGACTCTGGAACACTCGAAATAGTGTGGCACATGATCTCGGCCGCACCTGCAGCCAAATCTACACTGATCCCCGTCCTCTTGAAAGCGAGGTGCCGTCGTCCACGCTCCGAAAAGAGATTTTATGTACGAAGATGAAAGAGCTGGAGGCAACTGGACACATGCAGCCCGCACCCGCTCCCAATCTATCTCATTAATCTCACTCGCGTGCTGGGGGTACCAATCCTTTAGACGGCGAGCGAGAGAGGACGAAACAGCAGGAGGAGGGAGGATGCCCGAGATAGTAGTACACAGCGCGCGTTGAAGCTTTGGTCGAGCTCCAGCATGCTGAGAAGGGGCCCGAAGCTCGGCGAGGATCGGGTGGGCCTCCTCCAACGCTGCTCTACCACACGGCGACCAAGCCGAACTCGAAGGGAAGCCTCTGGCAGCCTCGCGGACATGCTCTACTATGCTGATGTCGGCCCAAAATGCCGGGGACAACTGGTTATCACACAAGTCTCGGATGGTACGCTGGGACAGAGCAGCTGCGTGCAGTCGGGCATATACCGACTCCCAGCCACGAAACGTCCACAAAGCGGCCCTCATGCGAGCAGCAAGGTTAACCGCCAGCCCGCTTCTGAACTTCGGCGCTCCCCAAAGATGTATATGGAAGAAGTCCGATCGAGAAAAAGAGCAATGAGGGACGCGATATACAGAAGCTAACATGGCGTGTTCTGACCGGGGGAATCTGGGAGGGAGAAGGAGGAACTGGCCAACGTAGGAGAGAGTCGTCAGAGCCCTTTTGTCGTACATTGCCGCGGCGACAGCAGTAGGATGAGAGGCGGCAGCAATGGCTTGCACACGCAGCGAGTGCTTAGCTCGGGGCGCGATCCAAGACTGCCAGCGGACTTCAGGTCCGAGGATCAGACCGAGGTATTGCAGGGACGGGGAAATCTGAAACTCGGCCCAGGCTGGGATCACACGAGCGATCCAGTCTCTGTATTTCTGGGCCAGGGCCTGGGTAAAGGGACCCGCCAGAGGAGTCAAAAAGCATTTACCAGCTTTTAAATGAAGGGCCGCGTAGGCCGCCGCGAATTGAAACATCTTAAAAAGGGTTTTCAACCCCGCTAAGACGTACACCACTGCTCCGAGGTCATCAGCACACGCACGGGCCGCGCCAGACGTCGGACGCCTGAGCGTGTTGGAGCTCTTCGTCGATCCAGCAGCTGGGGCAACTCTCTCTTCAAAGGTGTCCTCGAGCAGGGCGAGAAAGGGGTGAGAGGCGAGGGCGTACAGGGCACCGCTGCCAGGGCAGCCTTGCACTATGCCTGAGAGGATGTGAAAGAGCGGCAGCAGGACGTGTCCAGCCATCGCGAAGCACAGTACATTCGCATATATCACTCGAACGAACCACTTGAGAGGAGAGGGGATAGCGAGAGCGTCGACGACAAGAAGGAGCCAGGGGTGAGCGAGACTAGGAAAAGCATGAGCGAAATCGAAGCTCACGAGAGCTGGGAGGGCTTGCGGGGCACACTCACGCATCGAAGCCACACGTGCGTACATGTCGAGCTCAATCACATTCATGCCATGATTCCGTCCACGAACGAAGCCGCGCTGCAGCTTGCTGACGAAGTTGGGGATCTCTACCGAGAGGGGCCAGAAGACTGCTGCCGTTATCACCTTGACGTCCGCGCTTTTGAGCCCGAGGGGTCTTGTCTGGGAGGCTTCACGTATGATACCTGCGGGGTCCCCGTCTTCTTCCCCCCTAGGGATAAACGCTTTTCTTAGGTAGTTGAGGTCAACTCCCATGTACTGTCCACTAAGACACCACCACATCACCGTTGTCAGGATCTGGGGCCCACGCGGATGATAAAGCCAGGCAGCGTAAGGTAGGCCATCTGGCCCAGGAGTGCAATTGGAGGCCTTCCGGAGCACCCTAGAGACCGTGGCCAGGGACGGGGGCAGGAGGTTCATGAGGTCAACCTCGGGGCCGTACTTTTCGACAAATTCGGCAGCTTTCTGGACCTCCACCTGCTTCGCACTGAAGATCTTCCCCCAGTGCGATGACAGCGCGCCCAGCATCGCTTCGGGCGCTGTGAGAACCTGGCCTTGATGCCGCACTCCCTGCAGCACCAGCCGGCGATCAAAGGGAGACCAGAGCCTAGCTCGTTTCGCCAACCCTCGAAGACGACGGCGAGTTTTCTTCTGGACCACGGCGGGGTCGTCGGCGTTCAACTGCGAGCGCAGCGCAGCTTGTTTCTTTTTCCGCCATTTTGCACTGGGCGACGTTCGTTGCCATCTGGAATTCGACAGGGTGGCGAAGCCGAAGGACACCAGCAAGCTCGTCTATCTCCAGATAGTGACGGGCCAGACGGTGACTAGCGACAAGACGGCGTCCCAGTTTCATATTCTGTTGCCATGGAGCCCTGGAGATCGATTTGTAGATGATGAGATGGGTGAGAGTAGATTCTGGGTCCTTGAAGATCATGATGTTTCTAGCGCACTGGGCCGCCGATCTCATCACCTTCTTCTGAAAGGCAAGCAAGAGCGGTGGTGAAAGAGAGCTCGTGTCGACATCCAGCGCAGCAGCCTGAACATATTTACGATATTCTGTGAGCTTGAAGATGTCGGGGGGGGATCGGCCTATCTTCGGGCTTGAGAGGGTCCCTGGGGTTCATCACCGTCGAGACTGCTGCGTTGTCGGACAGCTCAAGCTGGCGCATAACTTCAGGAAAGCCGTGCACCTGACCAGCGGCACTAAGTTGAGTTAAAGCCCATCCTGGAACACTTACAAAGAGGCGGTCCAGACTAGAGGTCGTGTGGCTTGGTTCGTGATAATGAGTATGGCCCCCCACCTCCACCTCCGTCATCAGCCCGAAGATCTGTCGCCACACGGTCACACGCTGACGCCGCCAACCTTGCAACTGCTGCTGAGCTAGTGGATGGTCGTGCAGATGGCGCGGAGGAAGATGAGAAACGTTAAAGTCCCCGACGACAACCACGAACGAGTGCACGGGGTCCCGAGAGGCCCTGGCGAGGTCGTCCTGGATTGCCTGGAAGATGAGGTCCCTCCGATAAATGGCTAGGTCGTGGTTATGTATGTTCCAATGAAGGATCCAAGCTCCATTAGGAAAGCAAAGTTGAAGCTGTTGAACGCGTCCTGGAGCCCAAACCTGATGAACAATCTGCGGACGATTAGTTTCAGGGAGCTGACCAAAATCAGGAGCGAACGTAATTATTCCCCCAGCATTAGAGGGAACGTCGTCCTCGCCAGAGTCGCAGAAGGAGGTGAAGGCGCGGAAGGGACGATGGAGGTGGCAGAGGAAGTCATCAACTTCAAATTGCGTGCCGTGACATTCCTGCACTGCAACCAAGCCCCCTTGGACGAGCAGTGACGAAAGATATGACAGCTTGCGGCCGCGAAGCCCCAGTTGATGATGGAAGAGAGCCCGCGCATTCCACGAGGCGAGAAACATCGGCAACTCTTTCGAGCCGCCGCCTGCCCAGGTCTTGAAGAAGGCGTTAGGAACACCACCGCGTCGGCTGTGAAGTGCTCGAGAGCGCCGCATCAACCCTCGATTTGATGGCATCCTTGACCATGCCAAGCTCTTGCAAGTGGTCGTCAGCATACTCGACCGTGGGCTGCACCCCTGGGCCGCTGACTGTGATCCTGAGCAACTGCTTCCATTGCGCCGAGATCGTGCCCTGGGACTTGTCCGTGAAGAATTTAATGTTGTGCGGGTGAGCGCCATAGATCGACTCCAAAACTTTGCGTGCACGTTTGAGCGAGATCTCTGTCTTGACCATGCACGGGCTTTTGTCCAGGGACAGGTACAGCTCCTGGACGTGGCCCATGGGGTCCCGCACCGTGAACCTCTGCCAAGACCCGTCACGCCCACGGAGTAGAGAGATCGCCTTCGCCACTCGCTTGGCCGCGAGGTTGCCGTTGCCGAGGAAGCGGATGACGAACTTGGTGTCCGAGGGATCGCTCTCAATGCGGACCTCCTCGTTCGGGACCTGAAACTGCTGGAACCATCCATCCAGTGTGTTCCTGACTTCACTTTGCTGCACCATGTTCTTCGTCCTGGCCACGATGATGGTCGGGTCAGGCTCACGCATGAAGTCAGCATCTGGGATCGGCTGGATGGACGGGCGCTCGGACTGCATGATGCCGAGCAACTCCTCCAAGCGCGTGATCTTATCCTCCAAGACTGTGATGCGTTGGCCCTGGGCTCTGCTCGTGGTCTCCACGGATGCCAGTCGACGTTCCATCTGCTCGCCGAGGGACTCACAAGACGTCTGCACCGTGCCAGCGAGGGTGGCGACCGAGGACTGGATGCTCTGGATGGCCTCCATGAGGGTATTCTTTGTGGCGTCCACGTACTGGCGAATGTCCCCGTCGCCAGCAGGTTGTGGTCCACCTGGTGGTGGAAGGTTGGGAAGCTGAGGCTGCTGCAGCTGAGGGCCACCAGGAGGCTGGACAGCAGGAGCCGCACGACGCGCTGCCGCCGCGGGGGTACCACTGCCACCTGTGCCACCAGATGCTGCCGAGCGCCTTCCGCGGTTGGCTGGGGACTGCGCTGCATGCCGACGGCCTCCTTCAGCTGAGGCCTGTGCCTGGTCCTGCGCACGCCGCCCTTGTTCACCACTGCGGCTGCGGTCGTCACGAGGCGAGATAGGTGGCGACACGAAGGCCTCCCTGTCGTCCATGGCAACTGCAGGCATGTCTGCGAGGAGAGAGGTCTGGCTGCCTGCCAGCGATGGGCCGCCGTGGGCCCTTTGCCCCAAGATGGCTCGAGCCACCTGTTTACGGAAGGGTCCAAAGCTAATCGCAACACCTCGGCCCGCGGCCTTCGTTACGTTTAGCCTTGAGCCAAAATGGCTACGGACCTCCTCCTCCTCCTCCTCCTCCTCCACCTCCTCCTCCTCCTCCTCCTCCCGCCGCGGGAGGCACGTGTCCCGCGCGTAACTGGCCGCCCTGTCGTCCCTGCTGGACCCCTGCGCTGGCTCCCCGCCGCCGGCAGGCCAAAGGGGCGCGGGTGCCGAGGGCGAAGCCACAGGTGGCCTCGCGGCGGCCCTCGGCACGGGAGATGCCGAAGCCGCTGAACTGGGGGTACTCGGCCAGATTGACGATGCTGGTGATGCTGATGATGATGCTGCTGCTGATGATGATGATGCTGATGATGCTGATGCTGATGCTGATGCTGATGCTGATGCTGATGATGATGATGATGATGATGATGATGATGATGATGATGATGATGATGACGCTGATGATGATAATAATAATACTAATAATGATAATAATAGTCATAATAACAGTAATAATAATACTAATAATACTACTACTAATAATAATAATAATACTAATAATAATAATGATGATGATGCTGATAGTAATAATAATACTCATACTAATAGTAATAATAATAATACTAATAATAATAATACTAATAATAATAATGGTGCTGATGATGGTAATGATGATGATGTTTTTTCAGTCGCAGGGCCGATGACCATGACAGGTAAGCAATCGATGAGGCCCGTATACCGCAGCATTCAAATAGCGCAGCGCAAGGCTTCGGGCGCAAAAGAAGCCAGACCATCTCAGCCGTTGCCGGACGGGTCAACGAAACACGCGTGGCAGGAGAGGGGGATACGAACAGGCGCGATCAAGCAATGCACTAAGCTCGCCGCCCGAGACAGTCGGGGAGCCACCAAGATGGGCGGCGGGGGCAAGCATGGGCGGAGGCGCGCTCGCACTTGCCAGGACCTCGCGCAGGGGCGGGGGCAGGCAGAACAGAGACGAGCCGGTATGTGCAGCCACGGCCTAGTCGCATCAGATGTGCGCCGCTGAGGTGGCGACCGCGGAACGCGCAGAGGCGATGGGGTTGGAGCTCCACCCGCGGCGCGCTAGACAGACTCTGCGACAGCTCCGAGGGGGCGACGCAGGCGGCAGCACCCCGCCCAGGTACGTGTCCGAGAGGAAAGGCGGGCGGCGCTGGCCGCGGAAAGAAAGGCATCCTCTCGCGGCAGAGTGCATGCGAGAGAGGCAGGGCCGTCAGTCCAGAGATTGACGCCTCCGAGCCATTGCGAGCCACCGCGCCCCCGAGCTGATCGGGATCCAAGGAAAGGAAGCCACGCCGACGGCCAACCCAGCCACCGCCAGCACCAGCGGCAGAGGCACAGCGGAGCAGCGGCAGGAAGGACACGCATGACAGGGCACGCAGCAACAGCACCAGCGAAGACAGCAGAAATAGAAGGGGTCACACGGGGGGAACACAAGAGGGCAAACGCAAAAACATAGCAAAAGCAGACCCAACAAAGACACATAGCGGAACGCTCGAGCATGTCAGGACCTCGCGCGCGCACGTGCAGCCGCGCCAGGCTTGGCGCGAGGGTCAGGGACGCACGAGAGGCGAACAGAGACAGCAAGCGAGTCTGAGTAACACACGGGGTAGGGACGCGTTGAATGACAGCTCGGATCCGGGAGGGGGGAGGGGGGGGTCGCTGCGCTGGCTGCCTCAACCCGCCTTGTAAGACGCGTGCAAACGATGCGCCCGACGGAGCGGTCCGCAACCACAGCTGAAAGCGGACGTGAACAATGCATTGGGCCGACGCACAAAGGGCGACATCGCGCATCGCGTCGGGGGCCCAACCGTCGACGCGACACAGGGCGAGGGGGGGGGGGGCGAGGCCGACAGGGAAGAAAGGGGGCGGGCCCCACTCGAGAATCGGCCAGCCAGCAGGCCGGGGGCTCGCTGCGGCACCCGCAGCAACTGACACTGATCGCTGGGGCCCTCGCGACGACCAACGTGACAGCGCCTGCACCGAGAGCGAGAACGGGCCGAAGTCCACAACCCTCGGCACGGGGCACTCAGGACCGCGACGACTAAACACATCGAAACGGCCCGAAAGACTTTTTGTGCATTCTAGCCCGAGGTACTGGAAGCCAAGCGGCAGGAGGAAGGGGAAAGATAAGCCACAGCCGCATTCTTCTGGGAAGTACGCCAGCCATCACGCCAATGCCGAAACGAAGCGCACGTTGCGATGCAGCCTGCACTTGCGCTTCATCTTGCAACTGAAGCTGTCCCGGGGGCCATTCTGGATTGCCTGTAACGCCCTATCTTCAAGTTGGAACAGACGCGTGTTGGGGCGCTGGAGTTGCAGCGCGTAGCCGAGCGCAAGGACAGCCCTACTGTTGCTGGCGACAATCGACTCCGATAGACCGGCACCCACGAGGTCAACCTCAATCTCCCGCGCACGAAGGAAGTACTTGTCACGCTGCGCCGGGAAGCTATTGAGGTGATCATCAGGCCCCACAGACACCCCCAGATACGCGCAACACGTCAATTACGAAACTTGCTCACATCCACGCCCAACTCCCAAGAAACTCTTGAAAAGGCATCCCGCGGACAAGAACAATTCCCTTCGCGGAATGCAGCTCCGACCCGATAGCATCAGCAAGCAAGCGCAGCTTACCGAAGGTCGGGCCCAGGTCGGTAAACCAGTTGTTCAGAAGGGACCTACGGCAGGTTCGTGTCGTGCCGACCCCAACGTTGGTTCCCGACACCGCGCTGGATCGTTCAACCTTGAACGATCGGCCGCTGCCGCAACGTCCGATCGTTCAACATCGACCGATTCTGGGCCGCCAGCGGCGTTCAACCTTGAACGCCCGCGCTGGGGTCGCCGCTGGTCGACACGACGCGAACCCACCGTAAGGTCATCTGCGTAACCTGAAAATGTGAACCAGACGGGGCCTTCTGCAATTCGCCAACCCGGCACACCGGGCCCAGGGTCAGGCAACCAGGTGCCTAGACGCTGGGCGCCCCTGACGGACCCCGCGACCCCCCGAAGAGGAAGCCAGAACCACGCCACAACAACCGAGCGACGTTGTCCTGGTCTAGGCGATCGAAATTGACTACCTACCAGACCACCCCAACCCAACCCAAAGACCCGAATTTCGGGTTGGGGGGGGTATGGGCTCCATATGTGTTTTGTTCGATGTTCCCGGACCCCCCCCCACTAGAAATCGAGGGTAAACCTGAGCCTTCGGGTTGGGTTGGGGTGGTTTGGTGGGTGGTGAGAAATGGCGACCCGCCCAGGCGGAGATGCCCATGTGCCCCAGCACGACCAGAGCCCCTGCGATCAGCAGACTGTGGAGAGCGGCCGTGAAATCCGCGAGCAGCGGAGCGGCCTCCCGTCGATCCTCGAGGTGCCCCGGCAGACCGTCGGCTCGCCGGAGATGACGTCATCAAGTAAGGCGCGGCCAGGGACGCCACCAGACTGACAGGAACGACTGGTCCGCATGCTGGCCCGAGTGAGAGGGTGAGCGACAGCTGCCGCCGCGCGCTTGCAATCGGCGCGCCCCATGGAAGGCGGGCGAGTGCACGAGGGGCTCCGAACGGGGACGGCAGTCGAGTCGGTGGGGTGATCCCCTCTGGCCAGGAAAAGTATAAGCACTTCGTGCAAGTCGCTGGGGCAGGGATCTCCAGGGTGAGCAACGCAATGGCGGTAGAAATCGAACCAGATACGCATGGCGCCGGGATGCGTCCAGCAACCGAAGGGCAACCCAACAACCCCAGGCATCGAGTCGCCAGCGCGGATTACTTAAACGGCACATTCATAACGCTCTGAAGACGGTGCCAGATCACGAACGCGGTCGCCAGCACGCTGGATATGAAAAGCAAGAGTAGGGCAGAGCAGCAAATGAGCGAGCAACGACATGTGTACATGTACGCCCTCCGCGGTCTTGCGTGCACGAACCTCCGCATTCAAACGCAATTCGGCGGAAACAAACCGCGTACATGTACATATGTTGTTGCCCTCTGAGCAAATGCAGAACCCCCGTGGCGAGCGAATTCGGCGCCAGCATGCTGTGCGAACGCGCGCGGCGCAACAGTGTGATCCACGACTTTTTCCCGAGGCGAACCGACTTCTTCAGACTGCGCCACCGCTCGCGATTGCGTCGTGCACGTGAACCGCTGGCGCAACACTTCGTGATCGGAGAGACCCCTCGCCTGCGGGATGACCTCTTCTGCAGAGTCCAAGCGTAGATTGCTCAACGCTGCCATCCGCGCGCACAGGCCAGAAGGGTTGACGAGGGCGCCAGCGTCCACGTGGAAGACGGAGGAGAGCACGGGACAGGGGAGCACGGCTCGGACCCCGAATGCTCGCGCGCAGACCGCGGGGGGCTGCGACGCACCAGCGCAGATGCGCGGAGAGGCAGCCAACCGACACCGCATCGCCTTGATGAGCTCGGCACGCGCCCCATGCGCCGCCGCCTCGGCTCCAGCCGGGCGCGCGCGGACCGGTGGAGACAAGCCGATCGCCGCAATCCCGTCCGCCAGAATGCCACGAAACTCACGTCGGCGACCCGGCCAGGGACAGGAGGAGCGCCGTCGGAGAGGCGAGCGACGGCGGCGGCGGCGGCGACGGCGACGGCGCCCGCAGGAGCGCCCGCGCGAGCGGGGCTGAGCGGGGCGGGGCCGCAGCGCCCGAAGCGGCCGGCAGCGCCATCGGGGCCAGCAGGCCCGCTCGTGGCCGCGCACGACGTTGCCCCTGCCCGCGGCGCCCCGGCGATCTGGCCTCCTCCTCCTCCATCTCGACGCCCCCCCTCCTCCTCCTCCCCCTTCTCCTACTCCTCGTCCCCGTTCTCCCCGTTCTCCTCCTCCTCCTCCTCCTCCTCCTCCTCCTCCTCCTCCTCCTCCTCCTCGACCCCCCCCAGCGCCCGGGCGCCTGGCGGGGGCGTTCGGAGGGCCCCGCCGCGTCCACCCACGCATCTGTTCCCCGGCGGCAGTGCCCATGAATACTCGCGCCGCCTGCCTGCCCATAAGATCAACCCATCCTGTGCTTCGCCCCGCCTGCCCGCGAGCCGGCGGCAAGGGGCTCCGCGCGCGGACGGGGCCCCCCGCAGCTGCGCGCTATAGATCCACGGATGACGGGCGAATGCAAACTTGCGCCGCCCATCTCACTGTTCTGCCCTGTTGGGTGGTGATCCACTCTCCATATAATGCTCCGCTTCCCTGGTACATGCAGCACTTCATGCGCGATCCGCTTGATCCCAGCCGGCCCGCGGCTCGAGGTGCTCTTCTTCGCTTTGCTGTCCGTCGCCCATCAGCGCAGTCTCCAACGCCCCAGCATCGCTCGAGGCGCAGTGACGACTGGGTGCTCTTTCCCCCTCTAAACCCGTCCTCTTCCTCCTCCTCCTCCTCCTCCTCCTCCTTCTCCTCCTCCTCCTCCTGCTCCTCCTAGTCCTCGTCTTCGTCCTTCTCCTCCTCCTCCTCCTCCTCCTCCTCCTCCTCCTCCTCCTCCTCCTCCTCCTCCTCCTCCTCTTCCTCCTCCGGAACGCGGTCGGGCGGGTGCTTAGAAGTCGCGGGCGCTTCGGGGGCGACTCCAGCGACGACGGGATCCAACAGTGCCGCCGGGGGGCGTCAACGCGCGCTCCGTCGAGTCGGACATCCGAGACAACTGCGGCCTTCTCAGAGGAGGAGGAGGCCTTCTCAGAGGAGGAGGAGGAGGAGGAGGAGGAGGAGGAGGAGGAGGAGGAGGAGGAGAGGAAGAGGAGGGAGGAGGAGGAGGAGGAGGAGGAGGGAGGAGGAGGAGGAGGAGGAGGAGGAGGAGGAGGAGAGGGAAGAACAGCCTGGGGACCCTCAGAAGTGCGGCGGGCATCCCGCGGCGGGAAGAGCTCCGACCGACCCCCGAAGATGGCGACCACACGAACGAGGGCGGCGGCGCCTCTGCCTGGGTTGCCTCGCCTCAAGATTCAGCCGCGCCCCATCGCCGAAGACAAATGCGAGGCAAATGCTCCTCCTCCTCCTCCTCCTCCTCCTCCTCCTCCTCCTCCACCTCCTCCTCCCACCTCCTCCTCCTCCTCCTCCTCCTCCTCCTCCCTCCTCCTCCCTCCTCCCTCCTCCCTCCTCAGGAGGAGGAGGAGGAGGAGGAGGAGGAGGAGGAGGAGGAGGGGGCGGAGCAGAGCCGACGACATACATACAGTGACGAAGAAGCCACCCCCTGCTTCGACATTCGGCACGCGAGCAGCAATGGTAAACAGGATGCCAGAGCCGCCCCGAACCCAGAACGCACGACGCCTTACCAGGATTCAATGAGACACTGCGTGGTGAAACCAGTGAGCGCACCAAGCCAACTTCCCTTTTGCGCAAGACAGAGCCCGCACCCAGGGAGAGTCTCCGGATGCGGGGGCGGGAAAACTTGCGATTCGAAAAACCTTACGGATAGCAGTCAAATCCACGAGGTGCCCATGCGATTCCTGAGTGCAAACAATCTAGTTGGGTCTGATCAGAACACTGAACGGTTTCCCACGCGCGCGTGCACGCGTTCGCACGCTTCCAACACCATCAAAAAGACCTCGAGTACTCCATGCGATGACAGATCGCGGCTTCTTCGGGACGAAAGGGGGGAACAGCGACGCCCTACTCCCCCAGAACGAATTGCGCCTCTCGAAATCAGCCTGCACACAACAGAGAGGCAATATCCGGCGTGGGCCACCCAGCCCCCGCAGGGGCAAACTCTGAACTAGCCCCGTCGTCACAGGCCCAATAGGCCCATGACCTTGTCGACTATCATCTGATGCTTGCCCCCTGGCCCGAGAGCCCCGCAGTGGCGGGCGAAAGCGATGACGCGGGGCATGCCCTGAACCAGACTCGGCTGTGAAACGTGGAAGAGCTTCGCTGCATCACCTGTCTCGGAACCCCCTGCAAAGATGAACGCGTTGCCAACTGACGAACCGATTGATGATGTCACGAGGGATGAGGTAGCCGTCACTGCCGCGTCGAACTCGAAGGGGCTTAAGACGTAACGTGCGGAAGTCCTTGGGGGGTGGCCCACCCGAGCGCTGCAGGGTAGGTCTTCCTAAACGTACCGATGGTTTCGACAGCTGCAATCTGATGACGGGAGCGCTAGAATCGGTGTCGTCGAGAAGTTCTGAGGGGCGGCCTTCACCGCCGATTTCACAGATTCAGTAGCACAGAAAGTGGGAACTGCAACGCCTGCTTCGACAAGAACCTCACAAGTAAACCCATCAGTGTAACCCACGACGATGGCCTTCGACAACATATCGGCACAGCTGGGACGAGGACAAAACATGGTTCTGGGTTTCTTAGCGAGGCTGCCGTCACCGCCTCCTTCGCGGCTGTCGACGAACTCGCTGCTGCTCGCCAGCGAACGGAGGGAAGCCAACCTTTTCTCAGACTTAGCAATGTTCGCTTCCTGTTCTTCCAACCCCACCTGCAAATCCTTGTGAGATACAAGGTCGGGGATCTGTGCCGTGACCGATGTGAGGGAGCCATTCATCGTCGCCACTGGAGCCTTCACTTCAGAGATCAACGCATCCGTGCCTTTGCGAACCATCGCGCCCACATGCAGCTTGGGACCCGAACAAACCGGAGAGGAAGGAGAACGAAAAGCAGGGGCAACTGTGCCCAGGTTTCGAGCAGCCCCCCTCGGTTTGAGCAGATATGACAACAGATGATGCTGATGATGATGATGGCGGTGGTGCTCAGAATGATTGTGGTTTCATTCGGCCAATATCAGCATCGCCATCGCCACCATCATCATGGTCATCGTCATCGCCATCATGGTTATCATCGCCATCGCCACCGTCATCATGGTTACCACCAGCACCATCATTGTCATCGTCCTCATTGACAGCATCGTCATATTAATCGTCATCATCATATTTACCATTCGCAACATCGAAATCATCGCCATCGTTATCTCAATCGTCCTCATCATCATCGGTAGCAGTATCAAGTTCGTCATCATTGGCACCGACGTCATAATCATCGTCATCGTCATCGTCAGAATCTTCATCTTTATCATCATCGCCATCATCATCACATGATTCGACATCGTCCTTGCCACCGCCATGACCATAGTCATTGTCACAATCATCATCATTACCATAGTCAGCATTATCGTCATCGACGCCATCCTCATTCTCCTCAGCCCCATCATGATCATTACCACCACCACCATCATCACGATCATTATCACCATCACCATCACCATCACGATCACCATGATCAGCATCACCACCATCACCACCATCATCATCATCATCATCAGCATCATCAGCAGCATCGCCACCACCAGCACCATCCTCATCATCATCAGCATCATCAGCAGCATCATAATCATCGTCATCATCACCATCATCATCATCATCAGAATCATCAGCAGCATCGCCACCACCACCACCACCACCACCACCATCATCATCATCATCATCATCATCAGCATCAGCATCATAATCATCATCATCATCATCATCATCATCATCATCATCATCATCACCATCATCATCATCAACGTCATCAGCAGCATCGCCACCACCACCATCATCATCATCAGCAGCAGCAGCATTTTAATCATCATCATCATCATCACCACCACCATCACCATCATCAGCATCAGCATTATCAGCAGCATCACCACCACCGCCAGCATCAGCATCATCATCATCATCATCACCATCATCATCATCATCATCATCATCATCATCAGCATCAGCATCAGCATCAGCATCAGCATCATCATCATCATCACCACCATCTGCATCATCACCATCATCATCATCATCATCATCACCATCATCATCATCACCATCATGATCATCATCACCATCATGATCATCATCACCATCATCCTTATCATCAGGGCCGGTGGATGGGCGCACCAGGCCGGGGCAAAACGCGCCCCCCCCGAGCCCCCTGCCGCCTCCTTCTCCGCCGCCAGCGCGGCAAATCCCTTGCGCATGCCCGCGGCGGTGACCTCGACGTCCGGCCGCCCCAAGAACATCTCGTGTATGCCCCCGGGGATGATGAGAGAAGAAGGAACAACCGGCATAAGGAATCAACTTTCGGGGCTCCGAGCGGATTTCCTGGATCGGTGCTGGGGCCATCCCTCACTGGCGCGCGGATCGCGCCCGGGGCGGCACTGGAGGCGCCGCCCGGTTGGGGGCCCCACGCCGATCCAAGACATCCGCGCAGAGCTCCGACCGTTTGTGCATATGCAGTCCTTCCTTTTTCGAGCTGAGCGTGACGTTGCGAGGGTACGGCCTGTCGAGGCAGCGGCGAATCGACTCGCGCGTCGCGGGCGTGTAGCCCGCGAACCGCAGGGCCCTGCCCGCGAATGGCAGCGCGCCCAGCACCGATGCGCCCACGAAGTTCGGCAGGTAGCCCTGGTCCCACAGCTCGGCCAT